CCACACAGGCTTCTCCGTCAGCCAGAAAGCCCAGCGGTGTTTGGAGCCCCGAGGAGGATGCCGCCTGCCCGTGGCACAGTGCGACACTGCCTGGAAGGGCAGGACCCTATTGGGAGTTTTGGCACAGGGCCTTGACGTAAAACCAAGCTGCTGGCTGCCAGTGAGGGCTGCCGTGAGCGAGGGAGTAACTCGGGCAAGCACTGCTCAGCTCACAGACAGCCCTGCCGTTCGCTCTGGTTTGTGGTATTTTACTTGAGAGGCAGAGAATTAGCAAGCTCCCATTAGCTGGTTCACTCCTCCAGTGTCTGCAACGGCCAGGGCTGTGCCAGGCTGAAGCGGGAACCGGGAATCCAGGTCTCCCACGCTGGGGGCAGGAGCGCGACTACGTGCGCCATCACCGAGGGAGGTCTGCACCATCTGGAAGCTGGAATGAGGAGCGGAGCTGGAGTTGGACCTGGGTGCTCCAGTGTGGGGGTGCGTGTCTTACCCGCTAGGCAAGCACCCACCCCTGCTCTGTAATTGTCAGGCTTGAGAGGGGCTTGTGGTGGGATTGGGCAGTAGTTTTTCCACATAATGACTCATTCCTGCAAGATGGCTCTGTAGGGGCAGGGTGATGGTGGCAACCTGCCCTCCACAGCCCCTGGTCTGGGGTGTGTCCTTGCTCGCAGGGACGGGCGACAGCTGCACACAGAGGGAGCCGCTGAGCAGCCGGGGCAGGGCCTGTGGGTGGCGCTGGGTCGTGTCTGGAAGGCGCTCTGGGGCTGTCTTGTCTAATCGCAGCTCTCCTCTCCTGCCAGGCGCGGCCTGGGCTCCTTGCTGGCCTCTCCCACTCCCCATTTTAGCTGGTCCTCAAGTCTCTCAATGCCGGTGCTGGTTCCATCCCTGCGAGGTTTTCTCTGTCCCCACCCACAAGCACGAGGGACACGGCGGGGCAGGTGACCCCGCCTCAGTCTTGTGAGGGTGGCTTTCTCCCTCCAGACCCTTCTCAAGGAAAAGTGGTTTCTGTCCGTGTAGGAGGACACCGGGGCCCTGACGACACAGTGAGTCCACGGGGACCGTGTGGTCGAAGTCACAGGACTCAGCACGCCGTCTCTGCTGCAAGGCCCTGTGGTGCTTGGTGGAGCAGAGCCGGTCACTGGAACGTGATGTAGAGCAGCGACTTCAGGCCCGGGAGGCGGCTGTAGCTGGGCCCATTTCCACAGGGGAGCCCCTGCGCAAGGGTGGTCTTCACTCTGTCAAGTGACTGGTGGGGAAGCTGCGACTTGCCCCTGGGGCTGGGCAGTGTGCCCAGATTGAAAGGTGTGGGGTGTGGCTGTGGGGTCTGGGGGCAGCTGTCTGCCCGGCTTGTTCCAGCAGCAGAACTAGAGGAGAAACGAAAAGTCAGCCTTCTGTTCAGGGTCCTCCCTCACAGCTAAGAGTGTGGAGCCACAGGCTCTGTGGCTGGGACCCTGGGATCCAGCTCTCATGGGTGACAGCCATCTTTGCTTCCCCGCAGCCTGCGGGAAGGTGGCAGCTGGGCTGCCCTGGGCCATTTGCGCAGTCTCTGCCTCAGTTTCCCTGCCAGTAAAAGGTGGCTCGTGGTGGCTGTTTCGTCAGGGTGGCCCAGGCTCAGGGACCCGAGGTCAGCAGCACCTGTGTGGCACACATCTGCTTGCTGAGCCTGCACGCTCGTTCTCTCCCCACTGTGCTCGGCCTAGGACCCACAGGCGGCACCAGTGGGTCGTGCGGAGTGTTGAAACGGAGTTTGAAAGGCAGCAGAGTCTGTGGGGACAGAGTGACAGAGCGAGCGGGCTGTATTGGGGAAGGGGGAGGGCATGCGTGGAGCTGGGGCCAAGGCTGAAGTGGAATGGCCCTGGGGCTGCCCGAGTCTCTCGCAACTTACTCATACTGGGAAGAACCAGCAGGGCTTTTAAAGCAGCAAAGAGACGAGATCAGAACTGTAGCTGTCATTGTGTCAGGAGAATGGACTGAAAACAGCACGCAGGATGCTGAGAACGGAGGGATGCGAGACGGGGGGCAGGCAGGAGCCCGTGGTCGGAGCCGGGGCAGAGAAGGGTGTCTGGAGGGATGCGAGACGGGGGGCAGGCAGGAGCCTGTGGTCGGAGCCGGGGCAGAGAAGGGTGTCTGGAGGGCCCGGTGGAGCCGAGCTCCTCGGAGAGCGGAGTGGGCAGGAAAGAGCAGCTGTGGGGCCCTGAAGCCGTGGAGGAGGTAGAATTCTGGCTCAGGTGACTGGGTAGGTGCCGGCGGGCGGGGAGGAGAGGAGGTCTGGAGTGAGGAGGAGCCGGGTAATGCCTTCAGATGACTCGACAGCTGTGATCTGTACACACACCCACAGTGAGCTGCTTTTGGCCGTGAAAAACCCAGCGTGGTTCTGGAGCACAGCCCACCTTCCTGACTCCTGCGGGAGCGTTAGTCACAAACAAGGGGGCTCCTGGTGACCTGGGGCTGACAGAACCAAGAGTAAGCTGTTTGTCTTTCCAGGGTCAGCCTGTGTTTGTGGGGCTGCTCAGCAGAGAGCAGATTTCAGAGTTCACTGAGATTCAAGGCCTCTGGAGTCCAGAGGTCCCCAGGACACCTGGCGGAATCTGGAGCCATGACCATCGAGAGGCTTGGGGCCGCTGTTGTGGCAGAGCGGGTTGAGGCACTGGAGTGTCTGGTTAGCCCCAGCTACGCCATTCTAATCCAGCTTCCTGCCTACGTGCCTGCAAGGCAGTGGTGATGGCCTGCAGTCCTTGGGTTCCTGCCACCCACGTGGAAGATCCGGATGGAGTTCCTGGCTCCTGGCTTCATCCTGGCCTAGTTGTTGTCACAGGCATTTGAGGAGTGAACCAGTGGATGGAATAGTTCTGTCGCTCCTTCTCTCTTTGTCACTCTGCCTTCCAAATTAAGTAAATAACTTAAAAATCGAAAGAGTGAAGTTCAACTCTTGGCTCTGCTGCTGGCCAGCTGAGACCTTAGGCAAATCACATGTGCTCTTGGAGTCTCTGTTCCTTGTTTTTGAGATGAGGCTGTTTGTGATGCTTTGTGAGGCTAAAAGAAGACAGGTCCAGAGCAGGTAGCACAGGGCCTGGCAGGTTGTAATAGTGCCTGTCAGCGACTGCCACGGTGACCGGTGTTATTGGTAGCTGCACTTGGCCATGCTTCAGGCAGTTTATGTTGTGATTCAAATCTGCCTGTGTTCTCTGGGCCATAGAAAAAGAGTGGCTTCAGCTTCCTTTTTAAAATACTCAGTATTTATTTGAAAGGCAGAGTGACGGATCTTCCATCCCCTGGTTCACTGCCCAGATGGCTACAATGACTGGGGCTGGTCCCGGCTGAAGCCAGGAGCCTGGAACTCTGGGTCTTTCACGTGGGTGTAAAAGTTTATTTTTTATATACTTGAAAGAATGACAGAGGTTGAGAGATATCTTCTGTCTGCTCCCCAAGTGCTCGCAACAGGCAGGAACTCAGCCTGGGTCTGCTTTGTTGGTGGCAGGAGCCCGAGCAATGGAGCCATCATCTGCTGCCTCCCAGGATACGTTAACAGGGAGCTGGACCAGAAGCAGATGTGCCAGGCCAGGGAAAGAGGAGGTGCCTCTTGATTGAAGGGACCAGGGGCGGTCCTGGGGCCTGACCAGTGGGCATGGAGAAGAGCCCAGATGTAGCTGGAGAGGTGGCCTCCTCTGTGTCATCCCAGGTGTGGGACATGAGACTTAGGGTGATGGGGGAGCCAGTGGCAGGTCTGAGACAGGTGCAGCGGTCACATCTGTGCTTTAGCAGAATTCCTGTGGCGGTGCATTAGGGATGGGGCAGAGGCAGCAGGCTGGCAGAGCTGAAGCAGGGGACCTGGATACCAGAGAGAGGGGTCAAGTCGAGACGTAGAGGAGGTTGGGTCCACGGGGCTTGGCGTGCCCCCTGGATGGTGGGGAGCCTGGAAGCGAGCGGTAGGGTCACTGGGACTGCTTTGCCTGTGGGAGGGGGTGGGGCTGCACGTGGTCCAAGACAGTGCAACATGCCAGTCCCAGTCTCTGACAGCTTGATGGAGGGCAGGTCTGGGAGGTGCCAGAAAGTGTGGGATGTGGAGGGGGAAGCACTGGGCCAGCAGCTGGGTGTCCCCACCTCTGCTGAACTGGCCCCACTGAAAGTGGAGGCGGCACCCAGCTTTGAGCTCGGCAGAGGGGCTCCATCCAGAGCAAGTTTCTGTGCGTGCACTGCTGGCCGCTCGGACCCCTGTGGTCGGCCTCAGTACGTTGTGGCCTGTCCCTCCTGGCTGCAGCACACTGCGGGTTACCACCCAGAGGAGGAGAGGACTGGTCTGTTCCAGATCCTTCTGTGACATGAGCCTGAGGGGCCAGGACAGGCCGTGTCCCCTCCCTGGACTCTACCTTCTTTATCAGCACAGTGAAGGTCAGGGCTGGATCTGAGACTTTGAAACCTTTTTGGTTAAAGCAGCAAAGCCTTGGTTTCAACCAAATTTTACAAAGAACAAATCACAATGTTGAAATCGATGAAACAGAGAGAGGCCGGAGTTCTACCCTGAGGCTGGCTCTGCCAGGCTCCGCAGAACACAGGTGGTGCCTGCCCACCTGCCAGCTGCCCTCTCCCCCAGCCCTGGCCTTCTGTGGCCTGTCTGGGAGGAGGAGCGTGGCGGCCGGCAGGAGAGCCTCGGCCAGCTCCCCATCCCCCATTCTGCCCCGGCCCTGGCCCAAGTGACCCCCGAGCTGCTGGGCGCAGCCGCCAGCTCCTGGGCACTTTGCTTGCGATTTTGCCTCCTCCCTTCAGCCCGTCTATTTCACAGGTGAGTGGACCAAGGTGGAGAAAGAGAAGTGAGCAGCCCACAGGTTGCTCAGCTGGAAAGTCATGGAGCCCCGGTTCCGCCAGGCCCGTGAGACCCCCGGCAGCCCCACGTCTGTGTGGGCCCGCCCCTGTCCCTGGTGTTTCTGTGCAGGCCTCAGCTTGAGCTCAGGTGGCTGGTGTCAGGCTTCTTCCTCTAAGCACCGTCTCCTTTTCTCACCACGCAGGAGCCCGCGGAGCCCAGGAACGTGGAGGTGTCGAGGAGGCCCAAGGCCGTGGTGCCTTCTGCAAGCAAGAGGCCCAAGAAGGAGACCAAGAAGAAGCGCTAGAGCAGGAGGCTAGGACCAGGCCAGCTGCTCTCCCGGGAAGCCACCTCCGTCCCGGGCTCAGGGGCTGAGGTGGCCGTGACACGCTCTAAGCACAGAGGCCTGGATAGTCCCGATGGTCCCCGGGGCCCTGGGCAGACACCACTTCTGGTCCCTGTGCTTCGGGACCACGTTGAGTCAAAAGGCCTGAAAGACCCTTGAGCAGACTGTCCTAGGAGGTTGTTAGAGGTGGCGTCGACTCCCATGGTTATGTTTTCTTACTTACCCGTCCCGGCTGCCTGTGGTCACTGCTTGTGGTTTGGGGTCATTATCTCATGCTGACGACAGTCCTCTCCCAGTGTCTGTGCTACAGACCTCCTGCTGATCAGTCACTTTGCCTGTCTGTGTGGACAGAGCCAGCCACGCTTGTGTGTTTACGTCGAGGCGCCAAGGCCTGGCACCATTAGTGATCCCACCAGCTGTGGCAGCCCGGGCAGAGAGATGCCTGGTGTGGGAGCCAGCAGCAGGCCGGGCCAGGGCAGCGCCTGGTTCTGCTCCAGCAGGTGGAAGGGATTTGGCTGAACGAGTGCTTCTGTCCTGGGCACAAGCTTCCTGAGGCTCCGAAACAGGAGGCCTGTCAGTTCAGACCAGCCTGGCGTGTCAGCCAGTCGTAACACATCGGGTGTGCCTTTACCTTTGACCCCATCTGTCATTCCCTGACCAGCGAGGAAAGGCCAATAAACTGTGCATGTTGACCCTGCCTGTGTGCCATCTGCTGTGGAGGGAATGGGGTGGCTCGGGTGAGGGTGAGGCTGGCCCCCTGGAGGAGGGGACCGCGGGAGCGGGAACAGGTGTCAGGAGGGGTCCGGCCCATGGCTGGTCACTGGAGACACTTGGGATGTCCATGGGTGTGTTAGGGTTCTCACTGGGCCCAGCCGCGTCACTCTGCAGGTGCCTGTGGCCTGGGCAGACACTGCTGGTCCTCAGAGTGGCTTGTAAAAAACCCAGTGCAAGCCGGCGCCGTGGCTCAATAGGCTAATCCTCCACCTTGCGGCGCCGGCACACCGGGTTCTAGTCCCGGTTGGGGCGCCGGATTCTGTCCCGGTTGCCCCTCTTCCAGGCCAGCTCTCTGCTATGGCCAGGGAGTGCAGTGGAGGATGGCCCAAGTGCTTGGGCCCTGCACCTGCATGGGAGACCAGGAAAAGCACCTGGCTCCTGGCTCCTGCCAGGATCAGCGCGGTGCGCCGGCTGCAGCGGCGGCCATTGGAGGGTGAACCAACGGCAAAGGAAGACCTTTCTCTCTCTGTCTCTCTCTCTCACTGTCCACTCTGCCTGTCGAAAGAAAAGAGAGAAAAAAAAAAAAACCCAGTGCAAATCAGTGGAAAGCCTCGCGTGGTCCTGGGTGGGGCCGGCCGCGGGCCCTGAGTCAGTGTCCAGGAAAAGCCCCAGCCTCTGGTGCCAGAGCTGCCTGCAGACTCAATTTGCCACACACACCCCCAGACAGGAGCTGTGAGGCCTGGCACGGGACTCGAGGGCTGAGCGACCGTCATCTCCTCGTGGGAGACAAGACATTGGCGCCCAGACTACTTGATGCCAGAGCTGGCGCTTGTACCCAAGTCCAAGGCCGTTTCCTTGGTATCTAACAGATGCTCAGTGACGGCAAACCCAGTGCTGGGCTGCAGAGGGGCGTGGCAGGATCCTCCGAGGGCTCAGGAGACGATACCCAGGGACTGCAGCTTCTGCCCACGCAAGGGCCGGTTCCTGGCCACGTGGGCGCGGGAGGGACCTCTGTGGAGTGGCTCTTCACAACCCTGCCCTGAGTCTCGGGTGCCAGGCTCCGTGTTAGGCAGCGAGGATGCCGATGTGACGAACCTTCCTGCAAACCCGGGGTGCCCCGGCCTAGTGTGGGGCCCTGACGTGAGTGGGTTTGTGGTGGGGAGTGCCGCCCTGGCGCAGGGACACAGCTCTGTCTCGGGTGGGTCCTGGCAGAGCAGAGGTGACCGAGCCGAGTCCTGATGGGCCAGCGGCAGTTGTGCTGGGAGAGTCTGGGGGCCAGCAGCTGCGGGAGAAACATCTCCTGTCCCAGGCGCAGAGCTGGCCTGTGACGCCCACCTCCCCTGAGTTGTCCCCTGAAAGGTTGTGCCGGGGGACAGCCATCAGAAAGCAGGCAGTCGCTGCTCCCCTCCCCCCGGCTTCGTTCCACAGTGCCCCGGGTGGGTTGTGGTGGTGGCACTGTGGGCTCCCAGGACCTCCCGGTGTCTGGAGAGCCCGGGGGGCGGCAGAAGAGGGCGCCCTGGCAGATGCAACCTTCCTCCTCTTCCTCTTCCTGCTGTCTTCAGCCCTCAGTGGGTTTGCTGAAGCATGTGCACACTGGGGGAGGCCCACCAGTTCTAACACTGTCTCTGCTGCGGACGTTCTAATGGGCACACAGGAGTGACGTGGCACCAGATAGGGGGGCAGCCCTGTGCTGGCGCCTCCCAGCAACCCTGAGCCCCTCTGCTCAGCTGCAGACAGCGTCCGCCTTGCCCCTCATGCACAGCCAACGGACGTCTCATCTTGGAGCAAAGTCCTGATCCCACCAGCAGCCCAAGCCTGCCCTGTTTGTGACCCTTTCCTAAAAAATGTGTATGTATCTGAGGGATACAGCTTGGGGATCTGATACATGTCTGCATTGTGAAATAATCAGCAGCAGCAAGCTGATTAAAATGCCCCTCATCTCGCATGGTTGCCTTTTGTGTGGGTGTGATGAGGACGCTTAGCTTATCTGCCTCTTAGCAAATTCCAGGTACCCTCCTGTTCCCTGTAGTGGCCCTGCTGTCCGTCCCACGTCCAGCACCACTCACCCTGCTTAGCTGAAGCTTGCTGCCCCTCGGTCAACACCTCCCCGCTCCCTCCTGGCCAAACCCGTCTCCCCCCATTCTGCTTTCTGCCTCGGTGAGTTTGACTTACTTATTCCCACCTCATTGAAGCACAGCCATGGAACGCACAACAGCCAGGGCTGGGCCAGGCTGAAGCCAGGAGCCAGGGACTCCGTCCAGGTCTCACGTGTGTGCAGGGTCCCAAGCACTTGGCCGTCCTCGGCTGCTTTCCCCGGTGCATCAGCAGGGCGCTGGTCTGGAGGCAGAGGAGCCGGGTCTGGAGCTGGCTCTCCGCGGTGGGGTGCACGCGTCCCACGTGGGGGCAGCGACGCCGGCCCCTGGTAGTGGGACAGGGAACCAGGAAATGTGAAGCCTTCGAGTTCTGCGCTTGAGGCTTCTGTGGCTTTTGGGGGTCCCTTGTGATTATATATGAATTTTAGGATTTTAAAAAATTTCTGTGAAAAATGCCAGTGGGATTTTTGATAGGGATTGTGTTGAATCTTCAGGTTGCTTGGGCATTTTAACAGTATTAATTTTTCTGGGGCCAGCACTGTGGCATAGAAGGTTAACCCTCCACCTGTGGAGCTGGCAGCCAATATGGACGTTGGTTCGAGTCCCAGCTGCTCCACTTCCCATCCAGCTCTCTGCTCTGGCCTGGGAAAGCAGTGGGAGATGGCCCAGGTGCTTGGGCCCCTGCATCCATGTGGGAGACCCGGAAGAAGCTTCTGACTCCTGGCTTTGGCCTGGCCCAGCCCTGACTGTTAATGGCCAATTGGGGAATGAACCCACGGATGGGTGACCCTTTCTTTCTCCCTCTCTCTCTAACTCTGCTTTTCAAATAAATAAACAAATCTTTTTTTTTTAATACTATTTGAGAGAGAACTTTAAAAATACAATAGTAATTTGTCCACTTCATGAAGACAGGCTATCTTCCCATTTATTTGTGGGTTAAAAAGCATTTTAAGGGGCCGGCCTTGTGTAGTGGATTTAGCCTCCACCTGTGCCGCCGGCATCCCTATGGGCGCCAGTTCATGTACCGGCTGCTCCTCTTCGGATCCAACTCCCTGCTGATGGCCCGGGAAAGCAGTAGAAGATGGCCCAAGTCCTTGGACCCCTGCACCCACGTGGGAGACCCAGAAGAAGCTCCTGGCTTCGGATCCGCGCAGCTCCGTCCCTTGCGGCCATCTGGGGAGTGACCAGTGGATGGAAGACCTCTCTCTCTGTCTCTCCCTCTCTCTGTAACTCTGCCTCTCAAATAAATAAATAAAAATAAACTTTTTTTTTTTTTGACAGGCAGAGTGGACAGTGAGAGAGAGAGACAGAGAGAAAGGTCTTCCTTTGCCGTTGGTTCACCCTCCAATGGCCGCCACGGCCAGCGCACTGCGGCCGGCGCACAGCGCTGATCTGATGGCAGGAGCCAGGTACTTATCCTGGTCTCCCATGGGGTGCAGGGCCCAAGGACTTGGGCCATCCTCCACTGCACTCCCTGGCCACAGCAGAGAGCTGGCCTGGAAGAGGGGCAACCGGGACAGAATCCAGTGCCCCGACCAGGACAAGAACCCGGTGTGCCAGCGCCGCAAGGTGGAGGATTAGCCTAGTGAGCCACGGCGCCGGCCAAAATAAAAAACATTTTAATTCCTTCAGTCGCTCAGGTCGAAGCCGTGGAGTCACCCTTGACACCCCCTTCTCTCTGCAGCAGTTCACGCAACTTGACCTGCAAAACCCGGCACCAGGCCCATCTCGCCACTCCCCTGCACTGCCGCGGCCCTGAGTATTCCAGCAGCCTCCTCGTGGGTGCCCTGTTCTCAGCCCAGCAGTCAAGGGGATCCTTAGGACCTGGGAGCCTTTGTCCGCTCCCCCTCCCCCATGAGGGCCTGTGCGGGCCACCCCCCCTCCCTCACTTCTCTGACCTTGCCTGCCTCTGACACGCCAGGCAGCTGCTGCCTCCGGGCCTTTGAACATGCTGTTCCCACATCTTCAGATACTGTGCAGAGATGTCCACGCCCTGGTCCCTGAGCCTGTGACCCTGTGACCCTCCGTGGCCGAAGCACTTGGAGGATGTGATCGGGCTAAGGGTCTGGAGCAGGGAGATGATTCCACATGATGCCGGCAGGCCCAGCGCAGTCAGAGAAGACGGGAGGATGGGCGCAGACGTCGCGGGGTGGGGGCGCGAGCCGGTGCGCGGGGGCGGCCTCAAGCTAGATGCGGCAGAGGTGAGACCCCCGGAGCTGCCAGCGAGGCCATGGCTCTGCACACACCTTGGTGTCAGCCGGCAGGACCGTGTAGACTTCTGACCTCAAACACTGGAAGGTGCCGCGTTTCTGTTTTTGTGGTCGTATGTGACGGAGCCATGGGACGCCCGCACCGCACTGCCCTCGGGGAGAGCAGGCAGGCGCTCTCGGCCACCCAACTAGAAAAAAAGTTTAAATGTTTGTTTTACTTGAAAAGCAGAGTGACACACATAGAGACACATACCCATAGAGGCGGAAATTTCCCATCCTCTGCTCCACTCCCCAAATGCCATCGCCAGCCAGGGCTGGGCCAGGCCAAAGCCAGGAGCTGGCAGCTCCATCCGGGTCTTCCACGTGGGTGGCAGGGACCTGAGCCCTTGAGTCATTTGCTGCTGCCTTCCAGGAGGTGTGGAGCAGGAAGCTGGACCGGAAGCAGAGGAGCTGGGACTTGAACCGGCACTCTTATGTGGGACACAGGTGTCCCAGCGGTGGCTTATCCTTGCCATGGCGCCTGCCCTACCCCCCCCCCCCCATTTAAAATTCCAAACTTTCTCCAAAGCTTTTGCCCCCATCCCTAAGTTCTTTCTTGCCTCCTTAGCAGATGCCAGCTCCGAGCCGCCACGTGTTTGGCCTGCTTTTGCCCACTGCCGTCTACCCCGGCTGGAATGAGC